CCACAGTCACTAACTCGCCAGCCCCATTAGCAACAGGCCTGTGTTTTCCTTCCTTATTCTTTTATTATTCATATGGTGGTAAGAGCTCTTCTTGAAGCCCATGACATCCTATGCCAACTTCAAGTAGCAAATCCAGAAGAGTATTACCTTCACTGACCTGGCTGGCATCTGTATTAAGAAGTCTGTGTTGCTTGCTTCCCATGTGTTATCCTTCCAGCATGCATTAGGGGCGCTAACGTCTCCCGTAAGAGCCAGAGCTTATGAGCTGGAGACCTCCTCGAGCTGCTTGAAGACTTGGTACACTTCCTCACCTTGTGTGGGTGGTGTATAGCCAAGTGCCACCACAATGTGCTCCGTGGTCTCCTGTCTCTCCTGTTTCACCCCGCCTGCCATCCAGCCGTGGAAGAGCTGCATACAGTTGAGCTGAGCTGCTCCTTCACAACCTCCCCACCCTTTTGTTCCTGGCTTTTCTTTCCAGTCATCACCACACTCAGGTGGCTGAGCAGTCCCACCACATCTCGGTTATTCCTGGGTAGTCACAGTTCTGCATCCACACATGCAGAGCTCCAGCTCCTGCTTGCTTCCAGGCCAGTGTGCGCAGGCACTCCAAGTGAGACCCCCTTTGCCCTGTGTCATCCTTCCTGAGGGCGCTCTCACCTTCATCACGGTACCCTGTTACCTTGCCACCCTGACTTCCCTTTCCTCACTCAGCCGCAAGCTGTTGTCACCTTCCTCTGAAATACTTAGTTTGAAGCCTTCCTTTTGAGGTCAACAAGCCTATAGACAAAGATACTCTTACCCTACTTTGCCCAAGAGATCCCATCTCTCACTAATACTCCTCATTCCTCAAAAAGAACCCCGTAGGATTAATAAAACCTGGGCTCCCATGTCTTGTGTTTTGTCCCATAGCTCTGTAGTCATTCTTGATTCACTGTAGGTCTCCCTTGCCAATGTTTTTGGTGTTCATGAGGATGACCTTGAGGGGTAGGAGTCCAAGGTAAGGAAAAGCACCACCAGTTTCTCTGTGATGTACTGGGTCTGGGTGCCTAACAAGCAAAAAAAAAAAAAAAAAGAAAAACCCCAAAAATCCCTCTCTTGAAAGCACAAATGTTTGGCAGCTGTGTGCCTTCATCCCACGCAGAAGGGAAGGGAATCTCCAACCGCAGTCACCCATCACTTCCCCTTGTTCTCTGCTGTTGCTCGGTTCATGCCCAGCTGGCTTTGAAGCCTCCCTTCACTGAGTTCGTTATCCTCCTGTGGTTAGTGGGCCTGTTCCGATCCTGTAAGTTCTATCTGAGGGCAGAGAGGGGAGCGTTTCTCCTGCCTCCTGAAGTGACAAGCTCCAAGCCTCCCCGATCTCAGGTCTCCATTGGTCTCCATTCACTTATTAAAGTGTAGCCTCTAGCTGTGCCTCCTTCCTTGAGCTCTGAGGCTCTGATCTTGCTTCTGCAAGGTCTCTGGGCAGACCCTCTGGTTTCTTGTTCTGCTTCCCCAACACTCTTTTTCTTCCTTATGGTTTCTCCTCCTTATACTTCTGTGCAATGCATCAAAAAAAATCCTCATGGAAATCAAATCTTGGAATAGTTCTTCTCCTTATTCCTTAGTTCTAAGAAAGGCTTGTTGCATGCACCAATGTTAACATTTGATATAGTCAAAAGTGAGGCACGAGGCTGAACAATCATGAAGTTAAAAGGAAGAACGAGGCTGCAGAAGGTTTTTGCCTTTGGGAAGGGCATTTATGTCTTTCCATAAGCTCAAGTGTTGACTAATGCTACGCAATATGCACAAATTTTGTGTCCCTATGGACTAGCTGCATCCGTACATTCACTGTAAGGCTCAAATCCTGCATTTTTACTTCTTGGCCAGGCTGCAATATGTTGAGTGCTGCATGAGCAAGAAAACGCTGCCCTTTGCTCTGAGGCAATGCAATATAAAGGAATCAAGAGGAAATCAAGACATAAAATAGTAGTGAGAATATAGTTGCTGGAGCTGGAATCATGCAGGGATAAATCTGAAAATGAGATACAAAATATAAAATATGAATAAATACTTTTCAAGTCAATAATCCCCAAACAGCATAGAGAGCTGATCCTGAAAGTAAAATATAAGTTAATTTAGGAGACCTCTAGGCTTACCTGTGAAAGCGAAGATGTTTTGGGACCTCAGAATAAAACCGAAGGGTGGAAATGAAGAGCTAGGAAAAAAATAAACGACAGCCTTCTAGAAGAATGTAGCCTTTTCTTGTGCATTTCGTGTTTTCTTATGAGCCCAGAAGTGTTACGGGATAGATGATCATGGAGATGAATAACTCTTGAGGTAGAAAGGAAGTTTAGACGGTAAATGCATTTTAGGCCTTATTTAGCTGTGAAAGAAGAGCTCAAAAAGAGCCTACAGTGCTGTAACCCCGTTAGTCACAGAGGAAGAAGTAAAAGGGCTTGTTAAAAAAATAAATGCGCTCGGGGAAGAGGATGACAGAAGGGTGAAAGCAGCAGCTGCACCCTGGAGGGAACGGGCCAACTGGAGAAATAGGTTGCAGAAGAGAGGAGGCAGTTTTTGCTGTGACTGCCCGCTGCCTAAATCCCCCCTCTCGTTATCTTTATTAGCTCAATGTCACGATGACCCTCCCTCCAGCGAGCGGAGCGAGGGGAGGAGGCTTCCAGACCTGTCAGTATTGCTTCTGCCGTCAGATGACGGCGACGCTCTGATACGACACAAGCTATTTTACTAGGATGTGGGTCAAAATAAAAGCTGGCAGCAGAGCTTCCCAGATCCTGGGTGGTTATTCCCCCTCTTTGGAGGTCCTGCTGTGCTGAGTCCAAAAGGAACCTGGGCTGGTTCCTCTTCCTTTCAGAGCTGTACAGCACACCAAGGAAAAAGTCCTGCTCCTCATGGAAATCAAAGCAAGGTCCTGCTCCTCATGGAAATCAAAGCTTGGGAGGGTTTATCTCCTCATTCCCCAGTGAGAATGAGGGCTCGTTGCATCCACTGCTTGTTACCCTCTGATCTGGTAGAAGAGTGAGGACTGTTAATTATTTTTCTGCTTTTGAATTCTTGCAGTCAGTTTTTTATACGTATTTATATCTAAAACAGACTCCCATGATACTGAAGTCTCACGCCTAAGTTGATTTTCTTGGAGTTCTGTGCCAGTACATGGCACTTCCTATGTTTTCTTCCTACTGCATGAAAAAATATCCTTTTCTTCAAAGATGAAATTTAATCAAGTCTTCTTTTCCTCCAAGTGGCTCTTCTTGCAAGCTAATTAAAATAATTCAGATGACTGAAAAAGATTGTAATTGACTTTGGATTGAAGTTCAGAAAAAAATTATTTCTGTGTGAATAGTTTTTTTGGACGTTAAACCAGTGTGCAGGAGGGCTGGATTCAGTCATTACCTGGGTCATGGCTTTGCTTCGTGATTTGGAGAAACACCTTCATGTTTCTGCAAAATGAGGATTTTAGTGGTCTGTTCTCCCACTCTCTGCCTCATGCATTAAAGCAAAAGAGGTTCTTGCACGCAGTGGGTTCCTGTAGATCTAGGAGCCTGTCCAGGCTGAGGTCAAAGTCATTTTAAGCCAAGTCAACAGGGTTGTTGCCAAAGGCCCAAACTTATCTGAGCTCTTCCCCCACCTCTCCCTGCCCGTCACTCTTTTGTGTGGCACTTGTGTCTGTGCTGCCATGTGTTTGGAGAGTGGGTGGCATCACACTTTTGGCAGCATCCATCAATAAGATTGATTTAAAGCAATTACAGGACTGCAAAAACAACTTACTTCATGCAAGGTAGAAGCCTGAGCTGGCAAGAGCCTGGGGATGGGGACAGTGCCTCCCCTAGCTAAGAAGCAGTTCCTGGCACAGCGTCATCTTCCTTTTAGCACTTGATCTTCTGCAGCGCAGCTAATAGATAGGGATAATTTATTTGTTTGCTGTTTTTTTTTTTTCCCCCAGATGCAGGGATTCCTACACTACATTTTCTCTTTATGCTTCTGTTACTTAGCATCGTCCAGCTTCTAAGAGTTGAGGGTTGTAAGTGGCGTTTTGCTTTTGAAGCCTGCATACGTACAGCTACCACAGGTGCAGGGAAGACAAACTTTCCATCCTCATGCTGATGTAACTCACACTCCACCGTAAAGACTTTATCATTTTGGGAAGCAAAGTAACAAGTGCGTTATTAAAACAGATTTCTCTAATACTGCATGATATTCAGATAATGTCAGGTCAGAAGGAAAATTGTATTAGTCCTTTTGTTATTATCATAGTTTTGTCATAGTATGTATTGCCAACTCTAGATTAAACATGTCCTTGGAAACCTTCATTTCTATACATAACAGAATTAGGAAAGTGTGAAGTGCAAGAAAATCAGCTCTTTTTTAATGCTCACACCAACATGAACTATATGCTCCTCTGTCTCATTTTTATATTTATGTAATATGCAAGGCTCAGCTTCCTTTAGTGTGAAGCAGGAAACCAGAAAGAGGAGGATGAAGGTCTGCATTTTCTGACAAGCAAAACAAAACAAAACAACAAAAAAGAAGCCTGAGTGTTTGAAGAGCCGCCTTTCTCCAGAATACTTGCATACTCTTAAAAGTGGTTTCTGAGCCACTAAAAGTGGATTTATCTGTAGCCTTCTTGGTAGGTGCAGTCAGCTGACAGCAAAAGGTTGCCACGTGGAGAAGAACTAGCAATTCAGAACAGGTCCAGGCACGGTGTCCCCAAAAAATAGGTGTTCAGTTGTGAAGTAACCCCTGTGAAGTAACATCTGCTCTTAGACCAAGCCTATGTCATGCTGAAATTGGTAGTTTAGCTACAGTAAATGTAATCTCCTGGTACCATATTAAAAAAGAAGCAGTTTAATAGTTCATGCAGGCTTTCCAAGGATAACCCAAGCTGTTATCTAAAATTGAGCTCTCTGAGAATCTTCCCAGGGATGCTTCTTTTTCTTTTTACTAATATTGTGTCGTATAGGTGGGTAGTTTTGTAATGGTTTTCTCTCGTATCTGATTTTCAGGCGGTGCGATCAATCACGAAGCTACCCACCCTGATTCACTCTGGTTTAGCGGCTGTTTATGGCACGGTTGTTTTAAATCAGATCGTTCTGTTTCTGGGCACGGATGATGGGCAGCTGCTGAAGGTAAGCGAGCACCGTTTCCATGGGAATGCCTCCCTTCAGCTACTCGTGTCTTCACAAGAGTAAAAGTTTCCCGTATTTTTTTACGCACCATAATGTGAACAGAATTCCCTGGATCTCTGTTTCTTTTTTGTCTGTTTTATGAAAAAAACCTGCTCTGTTGTTACTTGGAGAACAAGATAACTTTCAGAAGCAATTATGTACCTTGCTTAAAATTCATGGAAGCATTTCATTAATCTACTAATGCCCATAGTAATTAATTTATGGACTGCAGGGTTCTCAGCTGCACCGTCTCTGGTTTACTTCCTCGCTTTGTTTTTTTCCAGTGGAAATACTACATGCTGCTAGATTTTGGGAGCCTGTGAAGGGAACATGTTTGCCTGTTCGTTTGTTTGTTAGCCTGTCCCTGCGTGAGGCAACTAGCTGTCCAACAGAGAGAAAAGCCAGAAACCCGCTTTGCCACAGCTTCTGAGTAGCTGACCGGTGACAGTTTAAATCAGTCACCTAGAAATGAAAGTCACCTTATCTCAGAATCAAACCATTCAGCCATCCAGTCAAATGTCTTTATGGTTGATTTTTTTTTCTGGGGTTTTGCGAGAATGTGTATTTCCTGTCTACATGGCAAGGGATTACTCTCATTTTTTGCTTTTATTAAACAGGCAGGTGGAGGGGAATACAGAAAAGATCATGGAAAGTTTCTACCCACTGGATTGCGCTGTGCTAAGTTAATGCTTTTGACAACAAAAAATAAAATTGAAGGTTTTCACATCCCCTCAGCAGAGTGAGAACTATGAGTATATTTTCCTCGTTTAGTCCTGTTTATGGAATTAAGAGATGAAAGTCGTAGAAAGCTTTGCATTGATGTTAGTGTACTTAGTAACTTGAAAATTAAAGTGGTTTTTGATTCTCTTGAGTTCCATGAGAAGAGTGGCAGAAAGCTCCAGTTACGCATGGTAAGAAAAGCCACAAAGAAGTTTCTGCCTTGAAGGCGTTTGCCAGTAACCAGCAGAGGTTTCTTTTTACATGATGTTGGTTCTCATCTGGTGGTGCCCTGGATGTTCATTTGTTGTGTGAACACCCTACTGTCCACTCTGTTCACAGAAGTGTTCAACACATTAGGACTTTTATTTTGCATATAGTTCTCTCTTCCACATTCTTCAGTCTTTCTGTCCATCAGGAACGCAGCCGATGAAAAGGATGTTTCCTACATTATACCAGTGCCAGACTCAGTGCAAAACGTGTCTGGCATGTATGTGCTAGAAATTCTGTTCTGACTGCCTTTTCTTCCATCTTTCTGCACTATAAGAGCTGCGTATGGTTTTGAATTTGTCAGGACACAATAAGTCATCTGAGAGGCTCTGATATAGGTAGTGAAAGAGCAAAAATTAGGGTTATGATTAAAATACTAACGGGTAAATAGAAAAGTGTGAATAATTTCCTTTCTCTTGTTCTAGGCTATTCTTGATGAGGATATGGTATCTAATTGCCCAGAGGTTTTATATGAAATTAAGGAAGAAACTCCCATTTTCCCCAAACTTCGACTTGATCCAGTAGATAATAACTACATCTATTTATCCTCTGCTAGTACGGTAAGTACAATAGTAGATTCAAGTAAACTGCTGCTTTAAGGATTTGTATCACTTTAGAGGTGAAGTATCTGTTTGGATCAGGGTCAGACATTATCTACCAAAACTCAGGTTACCAGATTTACATGTGTTTTTCTGCACTTCTACAGAGCTCATAGGAACTTCCATGTTCTTGGCACTGCCCGCTGCTCCTATAGCCCAGCAAGACCTTTATTTGCAAGCTTCTTTTGTGTTATTCTGTTCAGAGATGGTCTATGTTTCTTTTTTTTTTTTTCCTGGAGCCTTGCATACGTGGCTGGCATCATGCAGAATCAAGTGTGGAGCTAGCAGACACATCTTAGCAGATGCTTTGGAGAGGAGGTTACTCTGAATTGGTAATCTGGGCCTCGGGAGGCCAGTGTTTGCGCTTTGCTTCTGCAGCTTCTAACGTGGAGGAGTCTCTTAACGGGAGAGATGGGTTTGCAGTCTTAGTCCTGCTGAGGTTAGCGTTAAAATTCTCGTCACCTTCAGTTAAGCCAGGTCTCCAACAAAAACCACCAAGCAGCCCCCATGAGAAGGGAGGGATGTGGTGCGTGGAGTGCGGCTGAGGCGCGCAGGCCGCATGGGGAGCTGCGGCACAGGCGCTCAGCAGGAGCAGCACGCGGATTTATATGGGTCTGTAAATATGCACAGGAAAGATTCAGGTTTTCTTTAGCTTTAATAAAAGGGCATCTTGTAGTGGAGGACCAACAGCTTTTAGAAACGGCATCTTTTTTTTTTTTTTCTTGGTAGTAGTTTAAGATGCTGACATGTTCCTCAACTTACTGATTATCTCAAACATCTCCAGTTAAACTGAGTTTCATAATATGTGGTTGGAAAAAAAGAGTAAAGTTCTGCATAAGGCACATCCTTGTTTCTGTTAAGAAAATATAAGAACTTCTAATTCTTGCAAATTTATAAACAAATATTTTGAATCAGGAATGTTTTTTGTATTAACACAATTAATTGACATTACTATTAAAACATTATTATATTTTAAGACTTTCTCTTTTCTTTTTTCCTTTTCTTTTCTGAAAATGGCTGACTAGGAAATTCGAGCTGAATGTACAAGTATAGATACATAAAACATAACCCCAATCATCTATCTTTACCTATTGAAGCGCCATTTGCATGCATGTTTGGTAGTCGCATGCATTTGTACCTGTTTGCACATGCAGGTACCTGACATGTTGATGCAAACATAAATGCATTTTGTTTTGCACGTGCATTTTTGGATGCACCTTCATTAGTCATTTAAAAACTTCAGTTCTGGTATGAGGGAAACAGCATTATTCATAAAATATACTTCCTTCTTGCTGTTATCACTGTGCTGAGTTCTTCATGCATTGCTTTGTCCATGCTGGCTAGTTAGTGTTAGATGCAGACTGCCATTGTACAAGCAGTTTCCTCATCTGATGACAAAATACAGTGTGCATAAAATAGGCTACAAATGTCTGCCCTGGGGCCTTCCAGCGGAGGGGAGCACGTATGGAAACTTCCCCAAAGGCGTCATATTTGGATGCTATCAGATTTTTAAAGATAATCCTCAGCTTCCCCTACTTATGGAGCCTGTTTTCATTCTGTGCATTCTTTGGTTTCAGGTGAGAAGAATACCAGTCGCAAATTGCAGTAGATTTGTTTCCCAGCAAGGATGCTTATCTGCAAAGGATCCCTACTGTGGGTGGTGTTCTGTGAATCAAAGGTATTTTCTGATGTATGGACCTGCATATAGAAGCAATGCATTATTACTTACTGCAACTTTTTACTAGCTTGGGGCTTCTCAGCATTAAGATAGTGTATCTTTGTATCTACTGAATTTTTATGAAATCAGTAGTCATAGCCACTTTTTTTTCATGTGAAATGGCATGTTGTGCCTTTTAAAGCCCATGTTAATCCTTGGATTTTTTAGATCTGTGCAAAAAAAAAAGGCTAGAAAGAAATGTTCTTAGAATATTTTTGTTTCTAAAAATAATTTTTCTAAAAAGAGATTTGGTTTTAGAACAGATGTTTTTGCTTTCAAAATTGACAGGTATGAAATTGTGTACACGTTTGAAGCATCTTAATAGCTGGGCAGCCTCTTGCTCGTAAAAATAGGGAGAGAGGTCCCAGCTGTCTTCAATATTCACTGCTCCTTGCTCTGGGGCCACTGCCTTTTACTTTAGGCCAGTGAAGAATGACTTTCTAAACCCTTCATCCTCCCATTCAAGTCATTAGTTTTGCTGCTTTCTTTGAATTGGGTTTCAAAGCTGCTGCACTGTATTTCTGGATGTGTAAAGACTGGACTGCAGGACTTCCCAGGTCATCAAGACTAGTCCTGGCTATTGCAAGTAACCACATCACATAAACCCACTCAGACTGATCCAACCTTGCCCTGACCTGAGAGGATTTTTACCCTCAGTCTTGCATTGACTGGCTATCCAAGAGCCTCACTGTGCTGCTGCTTTAAAATCCTTCTCCCCATTTTCATCACAGATGTATTCATAGACAGGTTATACCCGTTCTTGGGGTGCCAGTATTGCTTCAGTTGGATTTTCCACCTCCCTCACACTTAGCCACCTCAATATTTTTGTGAAAGCAGTCCCTTTCTTCAGTCTCATTTTGCTGCACAGAAACAGCCAACTTCAATAATAGTTTTTTATGCATTTATTTTTAAATATGGATGACTAGGACTGTCACATTATTTCAGAAGAGATGTCACCTTGCTGGGTGATGTTTAATTCTTCCCAACCTATCCAGGAAGCACCTTATTTGATATGTCCTGGAATTGCAAATGTCTTCTTCATGACTGCATCATGATGATGGGCCACAATCATCCATGATCGAATAATGCCCCCAGGCCCTTCTGTTTCTTTGTTCTTTTTTTTTTTTTTTTTTTTTTTTACCCCTCCAACGAATAAGTTTCCAGTCTAAAGCACATATGGGTTGGGAGATTTCTATTGCTCTAAGTTCTTGTATTATGCGCTATGTAATGTCATCCTATGCCAAGGTCATCCATGTTTTCCTGCGTGATATTCTGATCCTTGCCTGAATGATGATGTTCTCAGCTTGGTATCATCAGCAGATGTCATCAGGATATCTCTTCTTTTTCTGCTGGTTCATCAGTGGCTAAAATGTTAAGCAAAAAGGATGACAAAATTGATTTTCCAAGGAATGCTGCTAGTGACCTTCCCTTAGAAGGTTAATGCTACCCATTTTGATTGCTTCAGAGTCCACATGATGTTGTGAAGATTTACTTGTTTGTGTTTGCAAGGGTGGTTATTAAAAGAGAGTGGATTTTTGTCCTCTGGTGTGTTTTCTTCAAACTCTCTTTTTGGCTTCTTGTTAGAGGTTGTTAAACTTTTCATGTTTTTAATTACCTTAAAAAGAGCTTGAAAATAGCAGTTATTAGTCAGCATATCCCCTTAATGAGGGAAATCACCAAAAATTTCCACCTGATTAAAACAGAAATAATTTACTCTTTTGGAGAAAAAGTACAACATGAACCCCCTTTAACACCTACATCATTTTTCTTTGTTAAGCACTTAGTATTAGTAAATGTTTTTGTTCGTGAAGATATAGTTCTGAGTAAAGCTTTAGAAAAATAAATAAATGTTTTTAGCTAATGTTTTCAGTAAAGCCAGGATATGTCCACTAAAACAATATACTCCATAATACAGTTTTGTTATTTGGAAAAATATACCTGGTGTGGTCAGGAGACAAAGGTGTTGATTTTGTATTAATCAAAGGTGTTGACTGTATTTGTATTTGATATATCATCAAAAACATTGATGATATATCTTATATATCATCAAAAACATTGATGATATATCTTACACTCTAACTAGGGAATAAATTTTATGTTAAATTTCCATTCTGCTTTTAATGAAGCTTATTATCCATGCTTCATTTTAAAGACAGTGTGGATTCAAATCCAATGTTTTGATGAAAAAATATAGGCATCCTATTGGAAGTGAAAACAAAATGAAACAAAATATTTCTACTCTTCATATTTCTACTCTTCCAAGTTATCCAGTTACATAACTGTATAAATTCCCCTTCCACTTACTCTCACTTGAAAGAATTAGTCATAGCATAGTATGATTTCTTTTCATGTATATTGATTTTCTTCAGATGAATCAGATTTACCTGAAGTACGTTGAAATGACTCCAATATAAAGCACTGAAGTTTTCCATGTATTTCACTACAGAAATAGTACAATACATCTTAGTTTTCTGATATGATGAACCTGACTTTCAAATTTGGTCAGTGCCTGAGGCTTCTACAGACTTCCCTTAGGGGTTACTATCAAGCCAAAACTTTCTCTGAAACTGTGTTCCTGTTCTACTAGGCAATCGGCATATTATAGCAAGACAGAGGGAACAAACTCAGCAGGGCTCTGTGGTTAATATAATGATTAATGAAGCAGAGGTTTAAATACATATGAATGAGCCGGTATGCATAGGTACCATGTTGTTCATCATGAAATAGGAGGAATGTGAATCACATTGTGAAGAGGGATCTTTAGTAGCATAAAGAACTACAGCTTGCTGTGAAAGATGAGAGAATTTCTTCTCTCTGCTATTCTCTGTGCACGCTGGAAATCTAATCCACAGGGTACTTAAAGCAGATACTGCCCCTTCATCTCTCATGGAAGCCTCAGGATCCTTCTCCCTAAAATGCTCCCTTCCCAGGGATAATTAATGAATCGCACTTTTTGCTTTTTATCCTTTCTTGCTCCGCTGTCCCACAAGTGTCTTTCATGTTGTATAGTGTCTGGCCCAGTCTGCCTTCCTGGGAAAGCCAACATCCAGAAATTTCCACCTACTTTTGATGCATTGATTTTTTTTAATGTTATTTTGCTTTCTTAGGAGTTGTCTGAACCTGAATGGGCTGATAGACCCTTCTCAGCAGCATGTGGTTCTCTTATAGCGTTTCTCTGTGCTGTTCATTCCAGTACACTCACAAACAATGTAGGTTGTCTTGAAGTAGGGCTATAGTAGAAGAATCTCTTCCCCAAGCAAGTGGGCTTCAGGTTGTTGTTGGTCTGTAGAAGGCAGTTATGAGAATTTATACTGAGAGGCACCAGCTGTTCTGCTTTCTCCTTTGCAGAAGTTTCCTACCATAGCAGATAGTGTGAGCGTTAAAGGCCAGCTTTTGCAACAGCAAAAGATGCATTTTCGCTGTGCTAAGAATGCACAGGGTGACATTGCTTTTTTTTTTTTTTTTTTTGTTAGATCTTTCTTTACAAATGGGGGAAACTGCCTCACTATTCGTATTGCTGAGGCAATCTAAGAATGCAGATACCCGTGTCCTAGGCAGTTTTAGCGATTCAGCTTTATAAATAGTTCACTCCTTCAGTATTAGCATCACTGAAATCTCTATGCTTATCTTGTGCCAAATACAGTGTGTTTCTTTGCATCTTCAACAGAGAGCGCCTAGGACCATCAGAAACTGTTGGATATCCGTGTCTCGTTCCCAGTGAGCGTTAGTAACCTTTGAACCCCCGAGCGTACAGGTTTATGGATACCTGTTGCTAACAGATCTTACCTTCTGTGGTTCAAAAATTGTGGAGCTTATGGACCTTGGTAATCTCAGTAATGTGAAGAGAGGCATATATGAGATCAAAAATTGACCTAGTTAAGTCAGCTTGAAATATGTCAAGTTTCTTAGAGGGTATTTATGACCTCGATGTGTTCAGATGCAAGAGCCCAGTGCGTTCCTATGCAGCAGGAACTCCGTTTCCTGAGTTCAACCACACAGGAAATGACCGTGTGCTTAACTGCATTCCTGTTGCCAGCATCTTGATTTACAGAGAAGATGGCAATATGGTCTGTTTGTGGGGTTGCTTTAGGCATCTTGGAAAGTGGCAGGTATTCTTCTTGAAAGCCTCTCATTTCTTTTTTTCTTCTGCAGAAAAAAGAAAGCCTCTTGTCTAAATGTGTTTATACAGTGAGCTCTGGAATCCTCATGAAAATTTTTTAGCAATGCACATGTTTTGGAAATGTATGCACGTATCAAATGTTTGGCAAAGCAATAGTGATCCATGGCCACGTGACTGGTCATGTGGCTGAGGCTACATGTGCTTCTGCTTTCTTGTGGAATTGAGGCCTCATATTTCTTTTGTTCTACCTGATTCGAACAGTCTGTTTTGAGGGAAAATGCAGTATGTCATCTCTAGAAGAAAACACTATTAAAATATTCAAACAGATGCAGTGAGCACTTACTTGTATTGGCTTGCTAACTATCTGAAATTATTTGGAGTTAAGCTATGGATTGTTCACTAACTCTCCGCTTTATTAAGGATTCAATTTTCAACCAATCTAGTTTGTATGCTGATGTTCTGGGTTTTTCTTGAATCTATTAATATGTGTAATCTTTAAAGTATTTATATCTCCCAATGTTTCTTCATTCTTTCATAATTTTGCACTATCTATTCTATACTTTCTATTTCCAACAAGTTACTGTATATAGCATTTTTATTTACTTTGCACCATCCTACTTCTGAAATTGAGCTTATTCTTTAAGAAGGAGAAATCTTTCTTGAACTGCCTCACATCCATGGACAGGGAACAAGATTAACAGGAAGGATTCAGCTGATGAGCAGCACATCTGCACAGCATAGCTCTGCACCTGAGCCTCAACCTCAGCTCCCCTAACTCTCAGTGAAGAGCAAGAGCAGCTCCTCTCTGGGGTGATTCATCTCATTTTTGTGTGCATGTCTGAAATAGGTCAGGTGAAGCACACCCTAGAAGAGCCTGTGTCTCTCCATTGAGCGCAGAGGGAAACAAGGGATCAGGTCTGGAGCTCTACATTGAAACGGGCTGAAGCGAGGGGTGATGGACTCCAGCCCAAACTAAAGAGTCCATCATTGCAGGCCAAGCATTGAATGTTTCCCTGAATCCCACTGACTTAGTCAGGGCCCTAGAGCATACATCAATGTGTTGTAATTTATTTTGATAAGCAAAAGATTTTCCTGATTGTTTTCCTGGAGCTTTTTGTGTCTATTACCATGTTCCTGTTAAAAAAAGAAAAAAGAAAATCAATTGTTTTCCTGAAAAAATCAATAGCATTAAGTAAGTTGAAGTACAGTATCTGAAATCAAAGCTACCAAAAGGAAGCTGGTATAATTTTATGTATACTTTTAGGTGCACATTAAAAGAAAATTGTACACGTTCAAACAGCACAAGTGGTTGGTATAACATTTCACATGCACCTGATAAAGATCTGAAAATCCTGCTAAGTTTCCCTGCCATAAATCAGGTATGTACAAGCAGCTTTATGCATATTTATTGTGATGTTAAAAGTGGTGTTCTGTCACTTTTTGCAGCTTCCCTTCTTTTGTCACTGTGCTTTGTGTATTAGTCGCTCTTATCTAAAAAATTGGCAAATATATAGGAAAACCCAATAAGCGGAATGTATAGATCAGACAGATGTTCTCCTCCTGTGTTATAAAACATATCCTCAAGCTATATTTCATGCTGTTGACTTGGAAATTCCCTGTGCTGACAAAGGCATTGCTTCTACTATATCGGCTATTTTAATATTTCCAGTGAGGCTATATCAAGTGTATTACCTGCATCCTAAGCTTTATAACAAGCTACAAAACATTCACTGGGACATATATGCTAACTCAAATAGGCCTTTAAGTGTTTGGCATTAGTGTTTTTTCGGTGCCTGCTCAGAGCAAACATAGCCCCGAGTATCTGATTGTCAAGTATTTTGCCTGGCCACTTAATTTGCCTGCTATTGTTCCTGGCTTCCTGATTGAGTGCTCGAATGTGCTTGTATTTGTAAAGCCCTGTCTGCCAGAACAAAGGATAAATCACGCTAAGACAAATTCAGTTTCCAAATTGAGCACACTTTGTATATTGATGTGAAAGTAAGCTTTCTGCCAGGAATTGTACATCCTTATGCATATATTTTAAAGGGGCAGCACTTAACGCCAAAATGATAGTTTGAAATTCCTCAGTGTTCCAAATTGTTCCCATCACATGCATTACAGATCCTTTTAATTTCAGTAGGTAAGCAACATGTTCCTTTCAACACTCATTTTGCATTGCCTCTCCAGTTGGAAGAGGCTTTTCCCCCTGAGAGGCTAATTGTCTGCTTCTGCCATGAAAATTTTATTTTGTACGTTCCATAGTTTGAAGTTTTCTGTACAGACAAAATGACAGCTTAACAAGTATTACAAGAAATTCGTTCTGTTTGTGTTTTATAGGTTGCTGTGGCTGCAAGTTTAAGCAAAACCCTTACGTCTTGTATGGTAAAACTTGTAAGACCTGTTGAAATACTTTGCAAAAACGTAATGCTGAAAAACTCATCCTGTTCCTGCAATCTAACTACACCAGTGATAACTGATAATGGTATGTTTTAATATTCCATTTATTTCATACTTACTCATTGTCCTTTATTACCGAAGAGAACTGAGCGTAACTAAAGGCCTAGTGCTTGCAACTGTAGACATTGCTTTTTGTTAAATGACACTGAAAAGAAATTATGCCTGTTCTAGCAAGTGATTTGAGTATATTTACATTGTTCTTGATAATTAAAGTGTTTTTAATACAGAATCCTTTGTAGAAGAAATACAGTATTTTGACATTCAGCCAGAATAGCCAGAAGCATATCCTCATACTGACTTAGAGCAGTTCAATCTTTTTAGGGTTGAGCCCATGTGGTGTGACCACCTGTGCAAGGAAACTTCGGGTAAGGTGGCTACAAGTACAAGCAAACTGGTTAGAGTCACCAAAGAGTGTTCTGTACTTTGTCATGGAAAATCTACCCATCTTAGCCCTTCTCCCATCTGCAAGTGGGGTTTTTTTTTGCAGGAAGCTGTACCAGCGTAAATTAAGAGGACAGTTTGACTGTGAATGTCTATACAGTAAATAATCTTCACACTGAGTTAACTGTTTCAGCCTACTTGAGATACTTGTCAGAAAACAATTTTCACGTATAGAGGCTATCACGTGAAGATAGCAGAAAAATACATATTTCAGGGGTAACAGGGCTGGTTTATCTTTCTAGGTTTGACTTCATTTATATTTCGACTTTAAAGGTTGAATCATTGTGCAATAATTCTTAATGCTAGTTTGTTTACCAGTAGTTCTCGGGAACACAGACCTGTGAAATTCGTGTCCGACGTGTGGTTTGTACATTGTAGATCTTACAATGAGTGGTCAGTCACTGAGTGTCTGAACTTTGGGATTTTTTGAGCTGTTCTGTAGGCTTTGGTCTCAAAGTTAATATGATAAACCTTCACAGTAGGGTGTTATTTGATTAATAGAAGGAAAAAAACTTTGTACATCCCTTCAGAGATCTGTAGAGAAGCACAAAACTCTTTAAAACAGTTTTAAAAAAATTATACTTTTCTGGTTTTGTTATAACACAAAAGAGCACTTAAATCTGAATCAGGGTAAAGACAGCGAACTCAAGAATACCATGCATTTTTAAGCTGTATGAAGAGGAAATAGAAAATTTAGATAAGTGTCTGCCTTCATCTTTTCCTGTGTAGTCCAAAAGATATGCAACATTTTGCATAAATCTGATTCTATTTAATAATTTGATGGTGAAAGAGGAATGAAATGTTAACCAGAACGTAGTGCCATGTCTTTTTGTAGACTGCAGTGCTGCAAAAAGCTCTCTCTAGGGGATCCTTGTCCCTGAGACAGGCTCCTTGCAACACTGAGATCTCAGGAGATGAGCCTGTGATCTTTGCATATCATCATATCTGTCACATCTGTTTTGTGTGTCAGGTTCCTGTCTTAATTCTGATTTGAGAAGTGAGAAGAAAAGCCTTAATAGGTGACAGGGTGTCATGAGTGTTAGGATACTCACAGAACTCGTGTGTGAGGTGTAGCCAAAGCTGATTCTCATCTGAACAAGCCCACCTGGGATTGAGATTTCAGGACTTTTGCAAAGTAGTTATACCTTAAATGTGTGGCTGTCACATATTAAGAAACCATGTACTTCTTAGCAGAGAGAAGCCAGGAGGCTCCGCACACATGGGCTTCGTTTGATCTCAGACAGTCAGTCATTTTGCAGACACACACATCTGCAGGCACACAAATGAAAGGGACCACAGCTTAAGTGGTACATCTAGCTCTGCTCTTCGATGTGCTGCTCTGCTCATGGGAGAAGAAGATACTCTTTCATTCCACAGCTGCCAGGGAGTTGTCGGTACAGTAATTACGAGCTGAAATAATGGCAAATTGACTCATACAATCATAAAAGATTTAAATAGGATGAAAATTGCTACTATGTATGTTACAAAGGAAAACTCCGAGAGTGAGGCAAAAAAAAAAAGAAGTATGTATATGTTGGTGTGTTGGGATCTCTTGGAACAGTCTGCTGCCTTGGAAGGCTTGAGTCCAGGGTCTGGCTGTGCCACAGGTGGACTCTGTGCTCTTGGGGGGTGGTTTTATATCCAAACTCCAGGGTAGCTTTTCCTCATCTGTATCCTGACAGTAAAATTGCTTCTCTGCACCATGCAGAGATGGCATCAAGGTTAATTAATCATTGCATGCAAAGTCTTGGACTAAGGTGCTAAAAGATGCTATTGAAGGACAAAGTCTCCTTATTTTTATCAGTGGAAAGTGTGAGTAAAAGTGCGTGTGAGCAAAAAAGGAAGTGCATATCATGTAGAGAAAAGCTGAAGGCACATGAGACTTCAAGTCAGTTATTATTTTTAACAGTAATCTCTTGTAATATCCAGCATATGTCTAACAGTCACATTTTTTTCAGATTGTCTGGTTCTCGAAGCATCGCTGTCCTCCAGCTCTTGGAGTATCACGCAAACATTTCAGTTGAAAAAGTAAGGTCCTCTTTCTTATTGGTGCTTGTTGAGGGGTTAATGTGTGTCTGCGGGGAGGGGGGCTGAAGTACGATTGCTCTTATTTTTTGGTATTTACAAAAGGAAAGGCATTTCACCAGAGATAGCAAAACCCTTTTCCTGGGCCCCTTTCCTCTTTCTCCTCTTTCTCTTCGTGCTTCGGAAGCTGCTTTCATGTGATACCTCTGTTGTTTATTGGGATCTTGACAGCTATAGGAGAGTTATTATAATGCAGGTCACTTGTGGCAGGTGATGAGATAACGAAGGGTGGCTCAGTGATGTTAAAACCCACACAGTGATGTTAAAACCCACCCGTCACTAACTTAGGATAAAACCTGGGTCAGAGGAGTTTCAGTCAACTGCAAGATTCAAGAGATTCTGTAGAAGTCACCTTTTGGGGTTGTTTCTTAATAGATCAGGATACCATTTAAATGTGATACACAGGTTTCATGAGTACAGTTAAAATGGAAAGTAACGCTTAATCTGCTAATAATAATAGCGAATGTCTATTGTTCTGTGCACAGTATTCTTCAGAGACAGAATCTTTGTTTTGAGCTCCTAGCAGGACTGGTTTGTGCCCAGCACATGGCCTAACCCATAAGATATGTAGTGGCAAGGCATTGGACAAGCCTGGCTAATGCACACCCGAGGTAGCTGCCGTGCTCCCTTTCTGGGCTCTGTTCTTCCCTATGTGGAGAGGCGAATTCATAGGCCCCTGGGAAGAAATGCACTCCTGCTTTGTGGGGCTTGGCACATCGCTTCCCTGTCCCTGGAGCAACATGGGCAGGGAACTGTCATTCTGTGCTGCCCCGCTCTTGTCAGCATGTGCAGAGGGGAGACTTGCTGCTCGTGGCCCTTGTTCATGCTGACTGATGTATTGCAGAGCAAAGATAGGGGCAAACTCATCCCCAGCTGGTATGAGGTTTTTGGTAGGGAGAAGCATTAGTGCTTGTTCTCACTGCAGATACAGAACAGAAGTTCAGGAAAGCTGTGAAAAATTCAGTGGTGCTTTTTTCCTGCCCTTCTCTGGATAAAAACAATATGACCTAGCCACTTGCTAAAAAACCACAGCAAAATGAAACACAGAGTATTCGGTCTGCTTCATGCTTTTCATAGATTTATGACCCACAGCATAAATTACATTTCATACTAAATTTGTCCTCAGAATAAGCAGAACAGAACAGCAGTCTAGGAAGATAAACACAATTTATGTGTTTTACACATTTCACTAATGTTTGCCAGATTGATCTCCTGGATCTGTGCTTTTTTTTTTCTTTTTGTTACTTGAAATTTCACATTCATGGCTGAATCTAGATTGAGTCCCTGGGTCTTACAAAAACTCTGTTTTCTACGTTGCCAGCTGCTCACGATGTGTACGCAAGGGTGAGTGTGCCAGCTGCAGACGGAAGCGTGTGTCTCCTGCCACTGCCTGCCAGGTGAAGTTTGCTGGGGAGGACTGGATTCTCCCGTGGTCCTTTCTCCTTGTATTTCCTACATGTGAGCAGCAATTTGTCTCTGCCTTGTCCTGACATGGAGAAATGCTGATTCTTTTTTTTCAGAATAGTTGTAATGCCTCTGCTGCCTCCGAGGAAAACACCACGGCGCAGAAATTAGAGGTTAGTTAGCATTTGGAGATTGACACCATTGAGATACCCTGGGCTGGGGGAGAAATTCGTGTGAAGGGAGGGAACTTTGCTGAAAGAGTAGAGGTAAAAATGAGGATGCAGTTGGTTGTATGTAAAGGTAGTGCAGAACTTGGATTAGTGCTATTTTTTTCTTATTATACTGCTTAAAGGCACATACAAGGATTTGAGTTTCAGATCCAGGCATCGTGAAGTAGTGTAAAAGTCAAGTGCATATGTCTAGATGTGGGATTTGCAACATTGCCTTTAGTGCAGAGTCCATGTGTGCTCCACAAGAGTCAATGTGCTGGGATATCTAAGTTGACCGTAAAATAAAAATGAAATGAAACCAAGTAATAATAAAGGAGAATATCTCTGACTTAGTCTCTTACCAGGACTTAAATGCCTGTTTGAGGGCTGCTATCACAGACATCTCTGTGAAGCTTGGTTTCAGAGCTGCCAACCTCCTCCTCATTTTATGCAGCCAGATCACAGTTTCTTTAAAAAAAACAGATAGCTGCCAGGAGAACAGAAGGAAGGGGAGGATGTGCCACCCTCTTTCTGCGTAGCAGACAAGTGGCTAGAGGATGCACCCAGGAACTGGAATCCCTGGGTGCAGGGAAATCCTTGGCTCCTACTTCCAGAAAAGTTTTCCTTGATTCCATCCTACAGACCATACTGGGAAGGGGGCTGCTTTCCCCCCTCCTGTTCAGGCCGGGGTGCTGGGAAGGAAGGAGAATCACCGGTGCTAAAGTCCCCATGTGAATCTGGTCCTTTTGTTGGCTACTGGCATGTCACAGACTCTATGTGAACTCAGCCCCCTTGCCTCGCGGGCCAGCCCCGTAACCACAAGGTTATCCCTTCGTTCTCTATGCTGCCAAAATGCTTTATTTTTTTCATGAAGCTGAGCCAATCTTGCCATCAGTGGTTGCTTATGACATACAGGTGCTAGGAGAGAAATGAGTAGCAAAGAGAAATTTGACTGATGAGCAAGTACATAGAAATTTTCTGCCTACACTTCTTGGTTTCTGCCTTTCTGTGAGTGAGAGCGCAGTGGGTATAAATAGACACTGTGTTCATATCTCAAAAGGTCTCATTAAAGCTGCATAAACTTTTACCTGTGAAAAAGAGTTTCCTCTTCAATCCAGCTGCCCAGCTGAGCTTTTCTAAACAAAACCCATTTTGTTTTCCTCAGAGACAAGAGAGATTGTAATATTTTGCTTCTGAATACTGATACTCTGGATTTGGTCTGCATATAAAGCATTACTGCTGATGAAAGAACAGAGGCAATTCTTTGCTCTGCTTCCAAGTGCATTTGACATTGGTAAGCAGTTGAAATTGCCTGGGAGATGGCTTTCTTCCACGCGCCTTATCTTGGAGAGACAGTGATGGACAAGGCTGTGCAAGCTCTAGAGGCAGTCCAGAGGCAGATGTTTGTTTAGAAGTGGTTAATACATTCAGAGAACTTGAAATTGCATTTGAAATCCTGCTCTTCTTTTGCTGCTCACGCTTTAAGGGGAACGTATGGGAGGACTGAGAAAGAGGATTTGTGTTTTTACCAGCCCCAGCCAAGCATTTAGTCTAATTCCATTTCATTTTAGTGTAATGTACTTTTCTTTGCTGGCAGTCACAGCCCTCCTTCCCGACACCAGCTGCTGGCTTCTGTGCACGCACCTTCCTCCCCCTCGCACGAGGACAGCAGCTAGGGCGGCTACGCCAGCGAGATCGGGGAGCCGGTGGTGCCCTGCAAATTAATATTTTCTTCTGGCAGATTCTTTTGCATCGGGGTCAGTCCCAGGGTCCGGCGCTGTCCGTAGCCTCGGAGCCATGGAGCTGTGCAGGAATGGCAGGGGACGAGCTGCCGCGGTGGCCGAGGCTGGGGAACGCGTGTCTGGCTGTGCCTCTCGCGGGGTGTTGGGAGGCTGTTCCTGTCACCGCTCGCGCAGCCCCGGCATCGTGTGACGCTGGGTCTCGGAAATGCGTAGCTCTGTTCGAGTGCACAGGGTCGTGCTGATTTATGTTACCTGAGGACCTGGTGTGCACTTACGTTGCCTTCACCACCACCGTGTCTGCACGCCTCGCAACCACCGGTATTTATACATGCCTTCCTGCCTCTTTTCTGTCTCTTGTTGCTGGGAATCTCTCTTCCTGCCGTTGCATGCGGAAGCTGAAAGGTCAGTGGCTCCCTCTTGCCACTGCAGAGGAAATGAGCACTGCAGACCCCAGCTAGCCCTCCCAGGAGCATCGTTTGGCCTGTGTTCAGAGGTGGAATTCACAGTTTCTTTGTTGCTGAGAAGCTTAAGTGCTGCTGACAGCTCCAGTCAAGTCAGGAAAATGGCACTCAAGGACTTCGGACTAGCTTGGCTCAGACCTGTGAATATCTGCACGAAACCAAGAGTCAGAGAGAGAATTCAGTGGGGAAGTTGGTGTCATTTAGCCGCAGGAAGGGCATGATTCGGGGGTGGAACTTCAAGAAGGAACCGCGTTTAAAAGAAATTGCCTGAAAGGAAATGAAGCAGGCTAAATGTTCTCCATAGCCACCATGAAAAGATGCCTTCATCTCCTGAAATTCCTCCTTCCTTGCTTGGGTGCTGGCTGCTAGCTGGAGCCTGAGGAAGGCTGTGTTCCTCCAAGGCCCGAAGCTCCTGCTGGGCCTGCTCCTCACACACCTAGTGGGGCTGCACCGCTGGAGCAAGCCATGGTGTGAGGCAGCTTGTTTGTGTTACGTTTATATTCTGTTTGTCCTGTGTTTCAGCATTACTCCTAGCTGCTTGTGAGAGCCGAGAAGCAACTTTGTGCTCCTTTCTGTAGTATTTGGCTCCTGGGTCTGCCTGAGAAGTCTTGCTTTCCTCTGGGGCCCTGGAGGCGGCGCAGACTGTGGCAGGGGGGAGGTGGGGGGACAGCACTTGTGCTTCACAGGCTCCGGGCGCTCGGGTTGTGCTTCGCTTGTCCTGCTCACATGCTGCGGGGCTAAACTGGGCTCCAGGTCAGCTTGGGAGACAGTTTTCTTCTTTGGGCCATAGGGCAGGTCTTTACTTTGGCCATCTCCATTCCTTGTGTCCAGAAGTCATCTTGGAGCAAAGGAATTTCTTCGATAAGTTCCCTGCATTTGCAGAGCTTCTGGCCTGAGCCTTTGCACTCTCCTGCTCTTTCACAACGCGTAAGTTGTGGTGCTTGGGCAAGATGTGCTGGGGACCCTTCTGAAACGGACAAATTTGCAGAGACCTGGATTCTGCGACCCAGGTGGTCACCTCAGGCAAGCAGCCCAAAGTCATGATGGTGCTCAGATAAAAAGACATGAAAAGATGAGTGGTAGGAAAGCCCCATGGCAGAGACTTTTCTAGCTGGCAGGTAGGTTCTGCACCAGCTCTGCTCTCGGTATCAGGGTTAGTGGGGTTAGTTAGACAGCCTTGTAAAGACAGAAGGCTGAATGTGCCCCCATGTACCTGCTCACAAGTGAACTCTGCAGAAATCCGGCTAATTGCAAAATTTCAAAGCATGATTTTAGGCAACTTTTCTAAAATGAAGTTAGAAGTCATCTGCCTCAGAAGATCTCACACAGTTTTTGGTTTCAGGTGCATATTTTCCTGTTATTTTGGATGTTTTCACATTTCTGTTGTTTATAAGATGTAGAGGGAGGAAACTGACTTCATAAATCTGTAAGATAAACTGGGGGAAGCAACAAAACTGATTCATCATGAGATGCTGATGCCTCAAGTGAATAAGCTAGATAAAACATTTCTATTCTTGTTCAGTCGTGTTAGCAAAAGAATAAGCCAAAAAAAATCTGTGCAAAAAAGCCCAGTTTAAAAAATGTCCGCACTTCTGTAAGACTGTGAGACTTACAGAGTGTTTGCTCATCAGAACAAACTGGGATTATTTTTAAATGCTGTAAGATGTATTTGTGAACTTCTTTGCATGAGAAGGTAATGCCAAAGGACTCTTGCAATTGTGTTGTGCCTTTAGCTCTACATATTACTTTGAAAAGACTTGCCAGTAAAGCTAATTCTGGGCTCTTTCTTGACTTTTAATGCTAGGATTTGACCCTGCTTCCCCTTTTCAGGTCACGAGGGATGCCTTCATTTGTTTCTCTGATCTCTCACAGCGATAGCACCGTAGGTTGTCTCCTGTTGTGCTGTTCTTTAGTCCCTCAAGGGTCACAGAGAATTTATCATTTCAGGCTGGGCTTTTGTCATACGTACATTCCAGTATGTCAGACTGTACTTCCTTTCAGCAACTTTATTATGAGTTAAATTAAAGTATACATTATGTAGGTAGAAGTAGTGGGCTTGTAAAGAATTGGTGGTTGCCAGTACTTTTCAGGATCAGATTCAAACTTAGCAAGATTGGGAATTAATTAAGAAATGTATCCAAGTGCCATCAAATCTGTATTCCTAAGTACTGGCTGTTTTTGTTGCTATCAGTTAACAGCCTAGCCTTTTTATAACCAGATTTTGTTTTGCTTTGTTTTCTAATAGCATATCAACATCCGTTCCATTGAGCCTTTGTGGATTTCTACATTAGGCAAAAGGGAAATAACAGTCAAAGGAGAAAACTTTACCCGTGCATCAGGCATAAAGCTGATACTGACTGGAATCAGTGGCTGTAAACCAGACATGTGAGTTAACACAGCTCTGAAAAAAAATCCTTTTTTTTTTGCTTTGCATAGTTAAAATTGCATGTACCCAGACCCAGATTTTACTCTAGCTATGCTGTTGCATGCGCCATTCCCATGGAGCTCTCCATAGCAAAGAGAGGTGCTCTGTACTCCTGCTTTAGTTATTTTCCCACTTGTATTCCCAAAGGAGGGAACTTCATTTCATGATTGGGTAGTGTAAAAGGCAAGGAGTGGTTAGGTGGGCAGTTTGTGCACCTTTGCTTTTTGGTCTTGCCCTAGCTAATTCATCTAGGACAATTTTAGGTCTCGTGGCCCTCTAGAACGTGCAGCAGCCAAAGAGAAGTCAGAGACAAAGAGTCACAGGAAAAGCTTCAGCTTTTATATGACTCTCCTCTGTCTCAAAATATCCCCCAAATATTCTAGGATTCTGCTTGTGAAAGCTCAGACAACTTGGCAGGAAGGGGAAATTTTCTTGCAGCAGCTTGTCCTTTTCTCTGGTGATGCTTGTGTGGGCTAAGCCCCAAGATAATCATGCTGCCTTACTCTGAATCAGGCATTTTCAGGGGCAGCCGCCGTGACTGCCTGTGATTGCCAAGCACATTTTGTATCGCTAGCACTTGAAAATATATTCATATGATAGAGTTCCGTTTTTACTTAAACCATGAACTTCCTGGGGACCACGACAAAATGAAAAGAGAGAACGAGAGGAAGGAAGAAAGAAAGGAAGGAAGGAAAAAAGGAAGGAAAAAAGGAAGAAATAAAGAACAAAAGGGAAATGAAAGACTCATTCCTGAAGAGCTGAGCAGCCATGTTGATAACACAGAGAAGAACACGATAAAGAGTGAAAATACACATCAGATTACAGAGCCTGATCCCAAGGCCATAAAAGCAATATCCTTGCACTCTCGTGCAATTATTTCTTGTGCTCTCGTGCAGCTTAATTCAAAAGATGCCCTACTTTGTGTTTTCGGCTCCCTGCTCTCTCTTTCCACCTCCATCTGGCTGCTCGAGGAGAGAGTCGTTTCGCTTCCCTCCTCATCCCTTGCTTTAGGTTATAGGCCTCATGTAGTAACACCAAACAAGTGGCATCTGTGATTCAGCGTCTGTGACCATTTTCTTTCTCCTTCAGCATTCAAGTCAGAAATGTGCTAAATGACACACAAATGACATTTGCTCTCCCACCAACACGCAAAGAGGCCAAAAGTGTGTGCATACAGGCTGAGGGGAGGCAATGTTCACCCCCAGTGACGTTGCATTATGTGTCGCTGCCATCGTGCTTTGGAATCACACCAAATACCTCCTGGTTCAGGTAAAACTTGTCTTCCTACACCATTTTTTTTCCTGTGCTTAGTAAAATGTAGCTCCACAGGGCTAATATGAGTCTGCTCAGTCAGACTGTAGCTGACACAATTTTGGGTGACTGAGCAAACTTTGGACATGCAACTGTGCTCATCTGCATTGCAGAGAGCCAGAGAAAATGAACCATAAGTTGAGCCTGCACTAGCCTGTTGTGGAGGATGAGTTTGCCCCAGTGAGCTGGCTTTACAAATATTTTTTGGCTTTTTTTAATTAAAAACAGAGAGGGTCACAATCGCTGTAAGGCACATTCTGTATTTCTGTTCAAATTCCTCTTCCATCCCCCAACACTGCACAGTAGAAATAAAAAATAGGCTGTAGGTATTAAAGTTAAATCCAAAATCTGGGTAGCACACAAGTTTAAACTGATTATCTTTGATTCTCCTCCATTTATTTTGGATATTGTTTTGGATTATATACTCTTCACATCCTAAGCACTAGGAAGTATCAGCAAATTGAAAATAGAAACATAGAATCATTAAGGTTGGAAAAAAGAAAATAATCGTTATTGCAGTGATAAGCACAGACTTGTTTTAGAACCCCGTTTCACAGAGCCCAAAGAGCCCTGTTCAGATTTCTTCTGTGTTCTGCAGGAGACTTACGGCTCTGACAGAAGAGTTGTGGTGAAACTCATGAATGTAGTGGTTTAAGATATTCTCAGCCACCGCTTTCCACCTGTTCTCTGCCTGCACAGCAGAGCAGCAGAAGGGATTTTTACCCACTTTCAAGTTCTCAGTGTGACGTCTTGGCTTAAGGCGCTGGCAAGTGTGGATGCCTGATAATATGTTGGACTGGCAGCTGCAGCAGCTGAGCAGCGAGGACACATTCCCTGCCCTGCAGGTGAGGGGCAGTGCAGGCAGCTGGAAATTAATAATATCTTAAACCACTCCAAGTGTGTTCAGCAGCGAGGGTGAGCCAGCGCCCTCAGACACGAGCAGCAGTGTGTGGGCTCAGACAGATGGTCCCAGCACTGCCAGAAATGGGCCCTGTGAGGTGCCTGGCACTACCAGGTTGTCCAGCAGAAAATGGGAATTGAGCCCACCCAGGGCTACCCTGGGGCAGTGAAATACCATGATATTCTTTCCCCCAGACACAATATTAACTGCCAGGCTAGTTCTTAGGCTGGGTGAATACTGAAAAGGTTGGAGAGTCCCTGAAAAGGAGCATGCACGTGCATACAATCAGGTCATTTGGTTTTGTGTTAGTAAACAAGATTTACTATAACCTTGGGAAGAATTGCAAGTGCAAAATATATCTCAAGTACTTTCAGGATAATTGGTGCAGTGGGAGAGGCTGGCATGCAAATTATCTGGTCCTGAAGTTTGCATCTATTTTTTTGGCTGCTACCAAAGGAAAGTGTACTCGACTAATTAATTTATGACTAAAAGCTCCATACAGGATTTATTTGCGAGAAAGATCATAATATTAACCTCTTATATTTGTTCTTTTTTTGTTTTGTTTTGTTTTCATTTGATAGTGGTGGTCGCAGAATAACTGCATTGGGTAGAAATTTCAATGTGGTGGACAGCGTGATTATTTCAGATGACCAGAGACCAAACCTCACTGTAAGTCATAATCTCCTTCACAGTAACAAATGCAGGTGCCTTAAGGGAGCAGGTTTTGTTCCCAAGGTTTTGGGAAGAACTCAGTATTTTTCAAACACTTACACATGTGCTTAACATCAATCTTCCTATGGAAATACGACCACTTGTAGGTCATTCAGTTGCCTATGTACTAATGATCTTGGATCATGGATAAACATAAGCTACTCCTCTGCAAGATGCCCTGTGTCTTTTTTTGGTGCTCTGGGGACTTCTTTCCTAAGATGTCCTCCCTGAGTCACTCATCCAGATGTGTGTCCACTGGAGGAACAAGTGGTGATCTGAGGAGGCGTTTTCCCTACTGTTGATCCCATTTCTCGATCTCAGCATGCCAGTTCCTCACTGTACTTCTCTCATTTTGTTCTGGGAAGCCCAAATATTGCCAGTGCCTCAGCAAACACACTCTGATGCTGGGACTAACCCATTTTGTGGGTCTGAGAGGAGAAGATAAACCTGGGGGTGCTGGGGAGCTTGTCCAGCTCATCTGACATGACTTCCATCGCAGGGAGCACAGGAGAGCTCCCAAGCACTATTCGCTGTGCTCTGTTCCCACTGCAGGAAAAGCCTGCTTAGCAGTGTGCAATCAGCCTGAAAGCAGCATGCAGAGAGCACAATAACTGTGCTTAAAGGCAGGCACAGGCTCAGCAGAAACTTTCCAGGTACTCTGCATGGAGCCTTGATCCCAGAGAGGAGGTTTAGCAGATGTCTGTGTGAAGTCAGGAAGATTTTAAAATGATTTTGAGTGCCTCTGTTTGTAATTGTACCTACTGTTGAGTACTTAATGACAGTTGCAGCTTTGCTATTGCTTTTCAAGGTCTCTAGGTGCCCTGGAAATGAATCTGAATATAATTACTTAACGCCAAGTCTGAGCCATGCAAAAGAGGGAAAAATTGTTGATATGATGTTGAAAGTAGAAACTACCTTTATACCATGTGTCAAGTTACACTACCATCCTGACCCAGTGTTCATTAACTACCAGCTGCACACTGAACTTGATCCTGATCTGGAATTAAAAATATATGTAAGTTTGAAAATATATACATATAACTCCGTATTTAAAATAGTCACTGAGGATCATTTAAAACTTAGCATATTTAGTAACTGGTTCTTAACTTCATTCTTTTTCCTCTAGAAAGAAAACGACAACTTGAATATTTCCAAAAATGAGGTAGAGGTGTATCTCTCCTATATGAATGGTGCACAGACCAAAAAGATATGGTTCAATGTCCAAAACATTACCAAAAAACCTGACCGTAGCACCATATTGTGCAAATTCAAAAGGGAAGGAAGTGACAAGATTGATTTTTCCACAGTGAAAGTTTTTGTAAGTAGAATTCCATCTTGTTGCAATTCAACACTCTTGTGGTGTTTCTATAAAACTAGCGAAATGTAGCATTAATGCTCTGGTTGTGAATATCCTTTATAGAGAGGACATGGGTGCATTTTCTGCTGCCTTTCCTGGGATAATCCGGTTGATAATCCACTTGTCTTCCTCGCACCGAAGCATGCCTGCCTAGGTACCACTAGCGGTGCTGTGCTCATCTGCTGCCTAGTTACTGCTGGAGGATCAAAGATGGGCTTTGCAGTCCAAAGTGGGCTCCCTGCTGACCCCCAGGAAAGTGTCACACCTGACTGCAGGGCAGACCTGGCCAATGCAGTGGCCCTGGCTCCAGGACTGCCCCTCTTCATAGGTCTAAAAGCAACCTGGTGCTGTAGTGGGACAGCAGGACGAGGACAAGGATTTTGTTCTCCTGTTCACTAGAAGTGGCTGGGGATTTTGAACTATGCAGAGTGATCACTGCTGAGAGTGAGAAAAGAAGGCAATTCTGAGTAAAAAAGAAGTGGATAGTATTCAATGGAGGCCAAAATGCTATGAACATGTGGCACAAAACCAGACCCAAGTCGAAGAGCATTAGCATAGATGTCAAAGCTCAGTGGCAACTTAAGATATTTGCTTCATGAATAAGATGAAGATAGAATTTTTTAAAATGCAGTCATCACCATTTATGAGTGTGAAAGATGATGCTAGACTCTGATTGCAGTGTATGGTGGTATCAAGCTGAAATAACTCTATTGACTTCAAGGCATATGGCACATAGTAAAGGTTAACGGAGCTATTCTCAATTTCATATTGCAGTTAGCTGATCCCCCATCTGTGGATCCTGCCATCTGAGCCAGTAATTGCATGGAAAAGCCTTTCTGAGCTTGCTGTTGCATTTAAATATTAAAGTTTCCTTGCAATATCATATGCCCATCCTGCAAGCTTCATAGGAGTGACTGTTTTAGAAAACTCACTGCTTTGGTAGGCAAATCAAGTGCCCTTCTACTGAGAGTGTATTCATAGTAAATTTTTTTCCAACACCAGGAAAATGTGAAAGTAGGTAAACAGGCATGTTTTTAGTCATCATATATATGATGTATAATTATTATATATAATATATAGCACAAATATTATTTTATATTTGTAATAGTATACATAATATATATAATAGGCTATATAGTAGTATATTGTAACTTATATTATGCATATGTATATTAAGGAAGCCCTGTAAATATATCACGATAGAAAAAGTAGAGCCTGCATGAAGAAAGGATATGCTAGATAATAATCTAGGTGTGGCCCAAGTATAAATATATACCTTGCCCTGGTTTTCAGTAAGAAAGAGGATGTGAGGCCTGGGGTCAAAGACAGGATGATCGGTCTGACTGGAGACAGAAAAGAAGAAAATGCCTTTCTTGTGACAGAAGCAAGATTCAGGCATATCAAGGGTCTCCAGACAGGAAGAACAGGATAATTTCCATCACAGAACTAAGAAGGAGCTGGCACGTGATACTGTAGGCTTGGGAGGAAGGATTGTAAAGAAAATTGTAGAGTCAGGGGAAGTGCTGCATGACTGGAGAGAGCTGCAAATGTAATACTAGTAATTAAAAGAAAAAAAATATCAGGCTTGCTGATTTAATCCCAGCTCTGTTTAGAACTTTATAATATATCTCGAATGCGAAAGACTCCTGGAAGACCTGCAGGTAAACGGAGAGTGGCGTAATTGCCAACTTGTTTTTAATAAAGGCGGATTATGCTAGATGTCTTTATTTAGTGTGATGAATGTTTTCCTCAAGATGAAAAAAATAATAAAAAAGAAGCAATAGATCACACGTACCTGGAAGCCATTGAGAAAACTACTTAGCAGGGTCATGGCAGGATGCTGGGGCTTGGAGCAAATGGATGCTACGTATGGGGAGCTGGCGCTGGGCACTGCTGATGTTCTTAGTGCTGTTTTTACTGTGACTTGAGCAGAAAAATGTCAGCATGTACGAATAACAGTTGCTGGTGGCCCAAAACTTAGAGGTATTGCCAGCCAAGAGGAGGCTCTGTAATACCATGCAGGAAAGGAGGAGGGAATTTGGGAATAGAAACAGGGTGAAAACAGGAGTACCATACCTAATCCATGATTCTTTAGCAAGATGAATACACGATTAAGAAAGAAATGGGGCCATTGAGTAAGGAGGCTGGGATGAAGATGAGAGATAATGTAAATACGACCTGAGAAAACCTTGAAATGCTCTGCCTCACCTTGCTGCAAGAGGGGCAAGGCAGCACACACCTCTGCTCCAGGAGAGCCGTGCGTGGGGCGCAGGGACGGGCGCTGCTCACGGGGCCACTGTGAGGCTCAGCCTTGGCAAGGGGGCTCCTAGGAGGCGTCTCGGCCTTCGCTGCTGCAACCTGAAATATTGTCAGCCCAACTCTCCCTTTCACTTATCTGAGGCTCGTTCCTATCCGCGGTACTCAGTGGGATTCTTTTTTCTCTGTCAAAAAAAAATACAATTATTCTTTTTTTTTTTTTTTTTTTTGCCTCTGGTCTGTTTATAGCCTTTGTTACTCTTTATTTATGTGCTTTCGCCGTCCTCACGGAGATCCTCCTTGGTGAAATTGTGTTTGCTGTAATTACCCTCGGCGAGAGCCTCCCTTGGGCATCCAGCTGACCTCAGCGCTGTGGCGCGTTCCTTAAAACTCACGTGTGTCTGCCTGGGACAAGCCTGGTGGTTCTTGGGGGATGTTGTGTGTGTGATGGTAGTGGATCTTAGGCTGACCTTCTGGAACACCCCACAGACCCACAGAAAGAGATTGGAACTTGTGCAGAGAAATAGAGAAGAGGACTCTGGGTGAGGCCACTATCAAAAATGTGACTTGCCTCATTATCAGCTTGAGTCTTGCTGTATTTTTCTGCTCAGCAGATGAATGCTGTGAGTTCAGAGAACTGGTTTTAACCCTAAGCAAGTCCCTTACGCACTGCAAAATCCAAAATGTTTAGCAGTGATTCTGAAGTGCATCAGACCCCTTGCTAGTTTGAGGCTAGATTTCTGCCCTGGTTTATATTCATTTGAGGACTCTTGTTTGCAGTGTGAACAATAGCAAAACTTGGTGCTTCATGAGGACCTCAGTATTTTTCTCTTGGCTCTACTCTGTTCTCTTGCTTAAAAATCAAATACAGTTAAGTTTGCATTGGTTCACATATGTTTGCTGCTGTCTTCTCAAAGATCTACAAAGCCAAGGTACTTCATATGCCCAGGGGTCTTTTTAAACATACTTTAAATGTCATTTTGAGAATTGATATATCATATGCCCTCTATTAACGCAGGCATTATTTTTCTTCAGGTCAAATTAGGAAATTTTGAGCATGAAGTCAAACCAACATCATCATACATATATTTGTATGTTCTTATTTTACTACCTATTGTAGTGGGTGTCATTATAGGTAAGTACAATAAGGTGTTTTCAGTTTTTCATTTTCTGAAGGAGAAAGTCACTGCACAAACACATACATGTGTCTGCAATAGTCACAAACAATTGGATATTTTCCTCTCTTCCACATGAGAGTGGAAAAGGCTCTGGTCTGGTGGTGACATCCATCTTGCTAGACTGCAGTATGTTAAATATGTAGAATCGAATACAGCATCAGTTACACGAGAGTGTTGGCCACTCATCTGGGATTATTCACCAGCATTTAATGAGGCAAAACCTCACATCTAAATTCTTGAGTCATAACTCAGGCATTTCCAGCTGTCAGAACTAGACTCCCCTCCCATGCCTGGGGGCAGACATTCCCTATCCTTATCCTCAGGCAGTGTTGGAAGTATTTCTGGTCAGTCTCATTTGGATGATTCATGAATTTTGTAGATCGTTGGCAAACTGAGGGGGTAAGGGGATATCCCCTCCTCTCTTTCATTCCTTCTTGATTCTGCTACATATTAGATAAATTTTGTTTTCTCTTTATATATGTGAGGTGTTGCTCTTTTACTTGCTCGGGTTTCTTTATAAAATGTGCGTTACCATTGCAGGAACCATCTCTAGTGCTCTAGGTTTCAGTAAGTCAACAGTTTGGAAGTAGATTTCCTGTGCAAACAACTGCTTTTCCTGTTCGATAGTACTACACTGAGTAGCTTCCTAGTAGTAGTGGTAGTACTGCTTCTTAGGTTCTCTATCTGACTGTGCAGGTCGTACAGAGCAGTTTGTGCTGTGCATTCAAATAAAGTTGGATTGCCAACTCTAAAATCCCCTCTTAAGAAAGGGTTTTCATTAAAAGTATGGGTTTAGATGTAGTTCGCTGGAGCTCATGGGTACTACCACACTGATGACAATAGAAGCAATGATCCTTCAGAAGAATACAAATGTATATTCATCTTTCTTAAAAAAAATAAAGTCTATGTCTTATGTAGTTGTTCGTTGTTCAGTTTTCTGTATTCAGCATGTTTTTTCCCTCCCCTGTTTAGTGGCATTCATAGTTACAAGATACAAGTCTAAAGAGTTAACTCGTAAACAGAGTCAGCAGCTTGAACTGTTGGAGTATGAGATTCGGAAAGAAATACGTGAGGGTAGGTAAAAGGTGCTTTATAATGCTCAAGTACTGAACTGAAATGGCCAAGAAGCATTTCACATTATACAAAACTTTTAATTTCATAGCTGTTATAAAATAGAAATAGGATATTTGTGTGTGAGGAGTATCAAAGTTCCTCTTTAATGGTTGTGTGCAGCAGCAGCAGCACTAAAATAGTAGGTTTGCATGCAATAATTTCCTTTAACAAAAGTAAAAAGAAAAATGAACTTTCCAGCCCATAGGACTTCAGCTGGAAGGAAAAAAAAAAAAAAAGTCCTCTTGCTTGAAAACGTTTTTAAAGAGCATCTTCTGTGGCCAAGCTATAATTGTGAAGATGATTTTGTGCTAACCAAGCTAACTCTCTGGGTGGGGAGGGGGGTTGTTATTTCAGGATTTGCTGAGCTGCAGATGGATGAATTAGATGTGGTGGCTAGCTTTGGAACCGTGCCCTTCCTGGACTACAAACATTTTGCTCTTAGGACTTTCTTTCCAGAGGTAAATATTTGTGAGTCTTTCAGGTTGTCAGTCCTGCATAATACCAAAAAATTAGGAAGATCAGGATCAAGCGACTAAAGTAAATACTATGCAGCAATTACACACTATTCTCACAAGAAACTTTTCTTAAATCAAAAACAACCTAAGAGCATTTAGAGCTCTATTCCCTCAAGCCTAAATGCTGTAGTTGAAGCACTGTTTTTGAATATTCAAGGGTTGTGTGTGCATCAACATTTTTTTTTGCCCAGCCTCACTAAGCTGCCTGCCTTCGCCACCATCCTAACGGAGCGATAATTTATTTTTTGCCTTTTTTTTTTTCCTGTATTCACTTTCTGTGCTACAGCTAATTCTGGTAGCTGTCAGCCTAGCTAACATGTTTACATCATGGCACTCTCCAATTAGACCTGTGCGATGAAGAGAGGGAAAGATTGCTGGAACGTCATGATCACTTTCTACTCCAAGAAATGTTCCTCAGTGCTGTCCAGTTTAGGCTGTCAGAAATTCTGATTTCAACCAATAATGTCTGGTTGAGAGAATGTAGGGAGGATGGGGCCAAGCTCTTCTCGGTGCTGGCCAGTGAAAGGGTGCAAGTTGAAACACAGGAAGTTCCACCTCCATGTGAGGAAGAACTTCTTTACTGTGAGGGTGACAGAGCC